GACGTATTTGCCTTTGGCCTTACTCTGGGGGAAATGATGATTTTATCTATTCTGTACATTATTTTTTCAGATGATGATGATGAAGATAAAACATTTGATGAAGGTAACTTTAATGATGAATCATACTATACAGCTTTGGGAACTAGGCCACCTATTACTATGGAAGAACTGGATTAAACATACCAGAAAGTAACTGGGCTCTTTTCTGTATGCACTAATGAAGATCCTAGAGATCGTCCTGCTGCTGCGCACATTTTTGTAGCTTTGGAAACAGATGTCCAGTGATGTCACATTCATAACTACCTGAGCCTCAAGCATGGCTCATGTATATAACTGTTTTGTTTGCTGTAAAACATTTATGTAGTTATTATGATAACCCATAATTATTAGACTATTTAAAAATGGCCTATTTTAATATCCTAAGAAGGCTGAAACACCAATCAGAAAGAATACATGTACCCCTATGTTCATAGCAGCACTATTTACAATAGCTAAAATCTGGAAACAGCCCAAGTGTCCATCAATAGATGAGTGGATTAAAAGGCTGTTGTGCATATACATGACGGAAATCTATGCAGCTGTAAGAAAGGTAGATCTCTTATCCTTTGAGACGACATGGAGAGACCTGGAGAGTATTATGCTAAGTGAAATAAGCCAATCAGAGAAAGATAAATATCACATGGTCTCACTCATTTGTGGAATATAATAAACAATACAAGCTGATGAACAAAACAAACCCAGAGACATAGAAAGGAGTATGGTTCAGACTGACAAACCTCAGAAGAGGGGGCTGGGGGAGAAATAAACCACAGAACTTATATGCGTGTATGTGTAACCAATGGACATAGACAACAATGCTGGGGGGGTGGGATTGGGAGGAGGATGTCAATGGGGGAAGAGGAAAAACATCTGTAACAAAAATAAATTAATAAAAATTGCAAAAAAATATAAATAAATAAATAGAAGTGGCCTATTTTAGAACCATAGCACCTTGTTAACATTTGAAAAACTATTTCTAGCTCTGACTGGTTTGGCTCAGCAGTTAGAGTGTCAGCCTGCGGTCCAGAGAGACCCGGGTTCAGTTCCCGCTAAGGGCACGTACCTCAGTTGCAGATTGTCCCCGGTTGGAGTCAAACTGCCATCTCACTTGGATGTTTCTCTCTCTCTCTTCCTCCCTCTCTCCCTCTATCTGAAGATGAATGCAAAAATGTCCTCGGGTGAGGATTAAAAAAATAAACAATTAAATAAAAACTATTTGTATTATAAAGGTATTTTGTGTATACTTATGATCAGAATTTGATATCATAGGGGGTTTTCTATAAAGTTTAAGAAACTTTTAAGTTTAAGGAACAAGTATTAAAACGTCTTCATATAGATTTAAAATGCTAGCAATAAAATGCTGTAAACTCCTGTACCTTACATTATTTTGGGTAGTGGAGCCAATACTTTTATTAATGATCTTTCTTAAATATTCTTTATTTTCATGGATCTATTGAAATTAGCACTTTGTAATACAAAAAAAGTCTACATTTGATTATCTTTTAAAACATTAAACTTTGCTGGTCTTTCTTGGCTAATGTGCTTATTAAATATGGTCACGGGAAGCTGAGAGGATATAGCTCAAAGGAGTAGCACCTTGGGTGTTTCTAAATATTTTTGGTTAAGGTTTGTCTTGCCCTATTGGTTCTCCCAGATCTTTGGTTTTTGCTTTCATTTATTAAACATATTTCTGTACTGAGATCCCTTTTTCATTTTTTATTTACTAATCTAAATCTTAAGCATTTTGCAGTTGTATTGTAAAATTAATAAAACTAATAAGATGATGTAGAATAAAGGACACTTTAGTTACAAAAAAAAATGAATATTTCAATTATGTTTATTCTTTTGTTTTTTGGTTAATCCTTACCCAAGGATATTATTTTTCCATTGATTTTTAGATAGAGATAGAGTGGAAGAGAGGGAAGGAAGGAGAGAGAGAGAAACATTATTGTGAGAGACACATCAGTTGGTTGCCTCCCCACATAATCCCGACAGGAGCCGGGGATCAAACCTGAAACCCAGGTACATGCCCTTGACCAGGAATTGAATCCGTGAACCTTTAGACTGTGAGCTAACAGTCTAACCACTGAGCACACTGGCCAGGGCAAATTATGTTTATTCTTTAATCTTTTTGAATATTGAGAAAAACTTTATTATATTTTTAACATTCCTTAATAAATTATCTATAAACAAATGTAAATAAAAATTATTACTAAATATGGAAACCATTTAAAAGCCAATAATCAAAATACTTGCAAAATTATTTGTTGAAAAATTAATAAAAAGTGTACAATGTCATTATCTTAAATGTTAAGTAGACATTTTTTGTCACTTTCCCATCATTGAAAACTTGCTTGCTAAAAATGTTATCTAGAGCTCTGGCCATTTTGGCTCAGCGATTAGAGTGTAGGCCTGCAGTCTGGAGGGACCCGGATTCGGTTCCCGATAAGGGCATGTACCTTGGTTGCAGTTTGTCCCCGGCCCTGGTTGGGTCGTGTGGGTGGCGACCACTCGATGTGTCCCTTTCACGTCGATGTTTCTTTCTCTCTCTCTCCCTCCCACTCTATCTGAACAAAATATATAAAAAAAAAAAATGTCTTTAGGTGAGGATAAAAAAAAAAAATGTTATCTAGATCCAATAGCTCTTTCATTTGGTATTAATTGCACTAAACTAATAATACGCTGAGAACTAGAATGATATGACTTTGATCATTGGTGCTTTTTACAGACAAAGGGATTAGAATTCATAACTCATTGTGTATGTGATATAATAATTAGCCAAGGGGCCAAAACTCTTGAATTATTTGAATTGACTCTAACTCAATAAATCCAAATACTTGCAAGTGCCTCTTGTAAAAAACATACACAAAATACAAATGTAATTTTCAGAGTAACTCAACAAACTCAATTAATATTTACATTAAATTATCAAAAACTAAAATTAAAAAATTCAAACCATGAAGATTTGACATATTATTATATAACTTTTTATAAAATATATCCCTTATTTTATTTTGGTAGTCCCTACCACTGTGCTTATATCAAAACATTCTTTCTCCAATTAAAAAAAATATTTAAGGAACATTATAGGATACTCATGTTCAACAGTATTATCACCATTCAGCAAAGAAACTCAACTAAGAAAAATTTTGCTAATGCTAACTCTTTTTTTTTTAACTTTTTTTTCTTTATTGATATTAGAGAGAGAGGGGCAGGAAGAGAGGGAGAGAGAAACATCGGTGAGAGAGAATATTGATTGGCAACCTCCTGCACTCCCCTCACTGGAGATTGGGCCCACCACCTGGGCATGTGCCCTGACCAGGAATCAAACCAGTGACCTCTTGGTACATAGGTTGATGCTCAACCACTGAGCCACACCGGCCAGGCTGCTAACTCTTATGAAAGGTTACCAGTTTGCTAAATTTTAAAATCTGAATCAGTCTTATTTTCATAACCATATTACTGACACTTATTTCATAATCATATTACTGACAAATTATATTAATATATTTTTGCTGAATAAAAATTAATGTACTTAAATTTGTATACATTAAATAATGTTTAAGTGCCCCAAATGAGCTTGTTTAAATATATCCAGAAATAATGCAAAACTTCCCACTTAGAATTACCTTTTGTTATATCCGTTTTCCAAATCTGTTGTGTTTTTTTTAAGTAGGACATCACAGAACTTTCTACAAAGATACCATTTGAACCTGATGTAACTTTCTGTAAAAATACCATTTAGCCCAATCGGTGTGGCTCAGTGGATTGAGCATTGACTCATGGACTGAGAGGTCCTGGTTTGATTCCAAGTCAGGGCAAATGCCCGGGTTGCAGGCTCGATCCCCAGTAAGGGGAATGCAGGAGGCAGCTGATTGATGTTTCTCTCTCACATCGATGTTTCTCTCTCTCTCTCTCTCCCCCTTCCTCTCTTGTTAAAAAATATCAATAAAAATATATATACATATTTAAATTATATATATATAAATAATTTAAATCTTATCTAACTATGAATTAACCTAGCTATGAATGAGCAGGTAACTTTCTTCCATTATATTCTAAGAATAAGTTATTATTCTCATCACTTTGTTATTTTGAAATCAAATTTAATTACTAAGTGAATCTCATGTACCTCTATATCCAGAAGTTAGAGCTAAATATTTTGGGCTAGTAATAAATATTATATTTCAAGATCTGTTTCTATTATAAGAGTAAAAATGGTTATAAAGCTAAAGAATTTATACAATTTCATTTAAGCTTTATAAATCCACAGGATAAAATAGCCACCAAAATATATGAGACATAAAAACCTCATGACCCAGCAATTCCACTTTTAGGTCGGTACCCAGAAGAAATGTATATATGTGGTAAACAAAAGACAAATAATAAAATGTTCGTAGCAGCATGATTTATAATAGCCACATTCCAGACAAACCTAAACATCTATCAACAGTCAAATGGATAATAATAATATAATCACACATGGAATATTACACAGCAATGAGAATAAATAAATTAAAATTATAGACAACAACACAACAGCCCTCAAAATTACAACGTTAAATAAAAGGCTGCCAAAAGTGAGAACATACTGAATAATTCTAATTGCACAAGGTTGAAAAATAGCAAAAACTAATCTATGTGCTAGAAGCCACAGTAGTGTTTACCCTTGCGCCATGTGGTTAATAATAGGGAGCAAAGGGGTGGTTCCGGGGTATGTATTCTGTTTCTGGATGTGAATGATGGTTGCATAGTATGTTCACTTCATAAAACTCATTGAACTATACACATGATTTGTACACTTTTTTTGACGCATAATTCGAGTAAAAAGCATATTAGAAAAGAAGAAAGGAGAGGAGCAGAGAAGAGAGGAGAAGAGAGGAGAAACAGAAAATTAAGGAAAGAGAGAGAACACTACCACCAACAAAATACACACCAATCATTTCTTGCTAAATACTAACCTGATGACAAGATCCTGCTTTGCCACCAAGGGGCCCAACTTCTCTTCTTGTTTACTAATGTCCATGATAACAGGATTAATATCATATTTCTTGCTTAACTGTTCAATTTGATTCTTTAGGTCAGAGCCTATTTCAAGAATAAAGAAGCCCAAATTTTAGATTTCCTTCCACTAGTCAGAGAGGAAAAACACATTTTAACATCTCCAAAATAACTTTTCTAAGTTTAGAAACAAAATAGTCATTTAAAATTCACAGGGCAAACATGCTGTGAGATTAGTTTTATTGGTTTTTTCCTTCTTCAAAACTTAGGGAGTACTTACCTACTGTTAGTTCTACATTGCTATCTCTTGACAAGTATTCTAATACAGGCTCAGACACATAACCAGTTCCAAGGACTAAGACTTTTTTCTTAGTGGACATTGAAAGTGACTGAGCACGTTCCCTATAAAAAAATAAAAATAAAAAGGTAGGATGGGGGAATCATTTAACAAAAATAATAAATAAATAATAGAATCTTACTGTCAACAAACCAAATTAAAACTCAACACTATGAAGCAATATTTTTGTCATATTAGTCATAAAAAAGAACCTCAATGTGAGTTCCCTATACCAAAGTTTTTCTTTTTTTTTTTTTTTTATCCTCACCCGAGGACACTTTTTCATTTTTTGTTCAGGTAGAGTGGGAGGGAGAGAGAGGAACAGAGAGAGAGAGAGAGAAACATCGATGTGAAAGGAACACATCAAGTGGCTGCCACCCGCACAACCGACCAGGGCCGGGGACAAACTGCAACCGAGGTACGTGCCCTTAGCGGGAACCGAACCCGGGTCTCTCAGGACCGCAGGCCGACGCTCCAACCGCTGAGCCAAACCGGCCAGGGCCCAGAGTTTTTCATTAATTATTTTAGATTTCGTACAATGGACAATGGACCCTGACACCTCTGAGGTGTATGTCCTTAGACTTTCCTGTATTTGACTAGCAAGGCACAGATGGTGGACCACTGACTGTCTTACTCATGAATGAGAAACTTGGTCTCACACTTTGTACTTCTGGGGAAGTGATTCAAAATCATGCTAGAAGCTTTACCTGGGAAACCTAATTTACTCCACACAATAATCCAAGACAACAATTTGAGATTATTATTACCCATATTAGACATTTGTTTGGTGGTTTATCTTTAGATCACTTGAGAACAGTTGGAACCATAATTCTGAAATCACAGATGTCAGGAGTCAAATACAGAAACCTTAGACAAGTTACCAGGCAGGAATTTAATTATTGAACAGTTTATTCTGTTAAAAATTGTACCTTTTTGACAGAAAACTCTTTCTCTTTTCAACAAACTATTATCTCCAAGACAGTGATTAAGTCTCACTCATCTTTATAAACCCATTAATGCTCAATTTATTCTGTTTTAAATATAGAAGGTATTCATTAAAGGCCTTCTGAATCAAATTCCCAGACATCAATGTAAAACCAAAGAAATGGCCTTGTGCCAGGGACTTAAACAGCATGCTCTGTTGTTGGGATCTTTTAGGCCAGGATATCTCTCAAACTTTAATCTTTCCATTAATTATAAGTGAATTAAAATAACTATAAATATATAATGTCCCTTTCCCTCTTTGCCCTCAATAGTCGTATTACTGATGAGATGAGGTCTTTTTTAACTTCTACCCCCATCCCATTTCACCTCCCAGAATAAAACACCATTATTTGGTTATTGTATATACTTCCTAGTAACACTTTCTACAGTTTATATAATTAAAACATAGTTTGATGTTCCTCAAACATTCCAGGTTAATAACGTTAATAATGCTAAGTGGTGGAGAGGACATAAGAATAAGTCAGGGTGCAAAATAACTTAAATTTCCTTTCAAAATGCAATTGTCATATTACTCTCTTGGCACAAGATTCCACTAGGGAAGGAGGGCAGAAAATCATAGCAATTGGAGCCAATTAAACCTGCTGCTACATTAAATATGGTGTGTAAGAGGGAAGATGTCATCATCACTGGTCATGTTAGATATGACATTAGGATGCATATAAGTGATCATCAGGTGATGAGAATCAAAAGAATAGAGAAAGCTATGAAAAACAAATGCATGTGACATTTTCACAATAATTAACACTCCTAAGGGGTTATAGAGCTAGCTGTTTGTTTTGAAACACAAATTACACACTTTTGCTGTCTTATGCCAAAATATTTCACTGATCCATAAAAAGTTAACTATAAGCAAACTCATGGAAAAAGTATAACAATAATATATTGATCTGTGCAGATCTCTTCATTTACTTCTTGTAGGGACAGCTGAGAAAGAAGATAAGGCAGTTTGTTTGCTTGTTTATTTGTTATTAATGTTCCCACTATGGTTTCTCCTGCGAATTTAGTGCATGAGTCATTTTCTTGGATATGAATAGACCAGTGGAGTGGATATAAACACAAGTCAAATGCAATCAACTGAAGTGGCCTAGAATGTTCCAAAGAAATGTCAATGTTATCAAACTCTGAGTAGGAAAATCAGTTGAGGAAACAATGGCCTTAGCTAAGTACCTTTCTGTGAGAACTATTCTCTCTTGGGTAGATTTGTCAAGGTAATTTTTGACACCTTCCTCCTAAGAAGAATCCCAAGGAAAACTGACCTCTGATCATTTTCTTTCTTCACTGCTTCTCTTAATTTCTAACCAAGAGCACACTGTCCTCAATGTTACACTAAACAAAAGAGAGTCCAAACCCTCAACTAAAAACCAGACTGAAGGCACCACAGAAAGGGTTGGTTTACTCACTGTCTTTTGAGAAAGTAACAGAGGCATAACAATATGCGAAGTGCTAAAAAGAGGGACCCCCAAAAAAGGACCGCTTTTTGGACTTATGTTTGTGTATATACAAGTCTATACAGGATATTAGAAAGCCCAAATGATGTTATAATACTGTACAGGAGAAAATAATTCACACCGGTTTCAGCCAGTCACTTCGTTGGAATTTCCTATATTTATAGGCATTTTCAAAATTTATATCTTATACAAAATACACCTAGTTCTCATGAAGTCACATTAAAATATTAAAAAATACTCATCAAATCCAAGAAAAGAACAATGCTTACCTGCTCTCTCGGAGTTTCTGGATATATTTATACTTATCAGGCAATGTACCGTTGGATGTAATCACTGCCTAAATGTATATGACACAAGACATTTCTTTAATATCCACATTTTAGTCCCACAAACATGGACTCATGACTGATAGAGAAGAGACAGAAAGATAAAGAAATATGGGGAGAGAGAAAGGGACGGGAGAGAGGGGAGAGAAAGAGAGAATGGTAAGGAAAAAAAGTATATTCATGGAAAAAGTTATTTTTATAACTTACATCTCGTACCACAGGAGAAAAATTCTGACTTTCAAGGGGTTGTGTTGCATCTGATAATATCTGAAAAGAAAACGAGATTGGTAAGAGATAAATGACATTGCAAGGAAGGCTTCTTGGCATTTCTATTCATATTAAAATATTAGTCAAGCCCTGGCCAGTTTGGCTCACCAGTTAGAGTGCTGGCCCGCAGATCAGAGAATCCCAGGTTTGGTTCCCGCTAAGGGCACATGCCTCGGTTGCAGTTTGTCCCCAGCCCCGGTTGGGGTTGTGTGGGTGGCAACCAGTCGATGTATCTCTCTCACATCAATGTTTCTCTCTCTTTCTTCCTCCCTCTCTCCCTCCCTCTCTATCTGAAGATAAATGCAAAAATGTCCTTGAGTGAGGAAAATAAATAAAATAAAATGATAAAATAAAATACTAGTCAAAAGAAAAAAGAATTTAGAAAAGTTTTTGAAGATCAATAAAAACTTGGTAGACTTCTACAAGCAGTGAAATCTGCCACCCAAACACATGCTATTCCAAAGCAAGTTACAATTTTAAAAGTAAAAGTTGATTACAATCATTTTTGCTTGCTAGAAACATAAGAAACGTATTCTTCCCCACACGTTACATGTATGACATTGAGCATGATGGCAAATATCACCATATATTTGATAACCTCTATAACCTCATTCTAGGAGCTTCTAGGCCATTTCTAAGGTTCAGGCTGTTCTGTTAGAAGTAGAGAATTAGTCTTCCAGACAACACACCACCAAACCTGTAATAGGAAATCTCCTTCAGGTCAATATTAGTTCTGTATATAGACACATCAGCTTTTCAAAAATGTAGGGGAAATGACTTCACCAAATAGACCTCAAAAAGTCATCTCACAAGAATGAATCAGATGGCCAACAACATCTCTCATATTAACATCCTAGCATCCTTCTTATTCTCCTCTTTCCTTGCAAAGTATCCAACCCTTGAATATACTGCCAAAGAGGGTAAAGGTCATATAAATCGGTATTGTTGCTTCTGATGGTCAGGGCATTAGGGCCAATGAGACAATCATTCCCCCACCTCCCTTATCCATAGGTTAAAGTCTAGAGTACTCACCCAGCTAAAAAAGAGCTAAATGTACCTACCAGATGCTGGCAGGGAAGTATTGATTTACTGTATTAAAATAAATATGAAGCCCTGGCCAGTGTGGCTTAGTTGGTTGGACATCATCCCAGGCACTGAAAGGTTATGGGTTTGATTTCTGGTCAGGGCACATGCCCAGGTTTTGGGCTCATTCCCTGGTAGGAGGCATGCAAGAGGCAGCTGATTAATGTTAAGCTCTCATATTGATGTTTTTCTCTCTCTCTTTAAAAATCAATAAAAATAAAAAATATTGTTTAATTGATTTTATTAGAGAGAGAGGAAGAGAGAGAAACATCGATATGAGAGAGCTACACTGACTGGCCATCTCCTGCATGCCCCCTATTGGGGATTGCGCTCGCAACCCAGGCATGTGCCCTGACTGGGAATTGAACTGGGATCTCTCAGTCCATGGGACAATGCTCAATCAGCTTAGCCACACCAGCTGGGCAATAAAAACATTTTTTAAATAATTAAACATAAAACTAATTTCATGTATCGAAAACACAAGACACCTAGGCATCTGTTCATAACATAGGAACATTTAAAAAAAAAAAAAGGGATCGTCTGGCTGGTGTGGCTCAGTGGTGGAGCGTCGACCCATGCACCAAAAGGTCACCAGTTCAATTTCTGGTTAGAGCACATGCCCAGGTTGTGGGGGGCATGCAGGAGGCAGCCAATTGATATTCTCTCTCATCGATGTTTCTATCTCTCTTCCTCTCCCTTCCTCTCTCTAAAATCAATAAGAAAAAAAAAAGATAGGATAAGCCAGGGCATACTTTGGGAAGTTCATGGAATTAACACACCCGGGCCCCCCCCCCCCACTGTCAATTTCTCCCAGGTACCTTCTCAGTATTCCTTTCTCAAGCTGACTCCTCTACCTACCAACTCTGTATATAGGCTGGAAGACATTAGTAGGTAATAAAACGATGCTTGAATTTTATTGGGCATATGGCCAAATTGTTTAAATCTTTTGTATCTTTTCCCTCTCTAGGCTCTTTATTTCTACAGCCTTATTTAGCCTTACTGGGATCCTGGGAACGACATCCCACCTTTCTTTCATTTAAATCATAAATCTGATTATTTCCTTGTGCTTATTTAACATAACTCAGTATCTTTTCCTTGCCTTCAAGATAAGTCTCTAGTTCCACTGGTTTTCTGCAGGCTGGCTCTGCGTCTCCAACCTCAACTCTCCCTTTTGCCTCAGACCCAACACTTCAGACCTGTGAACAGATGCGGTTGCTTCTCTGCATCATGCTTTTCCTTTTTTTTTTTTTTAAATCCTCATCTGAGGATATTTTCTCATTGATTTTTAGATAGAGTGGAAGGGAGAGAAAGATTGAGAAACACTGATATGAGAGAGACACATTGATTAATTGCCTCCTGCATGACCGTGGCGGGGGCTAGGGATCCAACCTGCAACCCAGGTACATGCCCTTGATCAGGAATCATACCTGTGACCCTCCAGTTCGAGAGCTGATGCTCTAAGCACTGAGAAAAACTGGCCAGGGCTGTGTCATGCTTTTATATGCCTCTGTGCTACACCAGGCAAATGCCTCATATGCTATTCCTCTAACTGAAGCTCCCACTCTTTGTCCTCCAAAGTAAAGCTGAAGAATTGTCTCCTCTGTGAAGTCTTTATCAAAATCTGCCCCCAAACACATCTTGAAGGTAGGAATTACACTTAGCATCTTGCCATATGCCTGCTACATTATAAAATGGTAAATATTCAATTAATATATTAGTGAATACATGCAATAATTATTTAAAGTTCAATGAACTTTTACCCAAAAAAACTAAATAATTGTCACACATAAAAGACAACAAAAGGCTGTTCAACTCACTCGTTACACAAGTGCAAGCACAAGGGTCCTGAAGTAGATGGTATGCCTGTCGCTTTCACATGTAACCTTTGACAGCTCATCACTCTTGCCTAAATTAGTTTCAGGCTATTTCTTCTGATGTTAAGACCTTTTCAATATGGATCCAACATACTTACTTTTCCTTCATCAGAATCTCTAGCTTAAATTAACTCCCACCTTTGCTCTCCTGTCTCAACACACATTGTGCCTCCCACCCCCATGCAAAGGAACAGATCCTATACATCTAGCGAGAGCCAGCTCAAGTGTCACCTCCTTCATGAAAGAGGGTCACACAAGGTCAAGAATAGATTGTGGAGAAGACAATCAGCTCAGCTTTAGGTATACTGATCTTGAAATATATGCAGACTGTGTAGGTGGAGATAGCCAGCAGGAAATTGATTATATAGATCTTATGTGTGGCAACAATTAGAGGTGTTGATTTGGGAGTTATAAGGGTAAAGATAGTACAAGCATACGTTGGAGATACTGCAAATTCAGGTCCAGACCACTTCAATGAAAGGAGTATAACAATAAAATTTAAAAATACATTAAAAACAAAAAAACCTTTCCTAACTTTACCCAACAGGACATAGCCCCTCCCTCCACAACTTCACTACCATCTTTCTAACGATTGTCACATTCCACCTTATGGCTGGGTTGCACACTTGTCTCATCCCCTTCCTGGACCTCATGCTTCTCTAGGACAAAACCTGTGTTTTCTTTCTCTCTATCCATGTATGTGCCTTGTTTCAACAGACAATAAATATCTATTGAATTCAACTAAAACAAAAATTCTATGTTGGTAAAGTAATAGTATATGCTCTACAATGTTATAGAAGTTATATGGACCTTAAGTCAAGAAGGAAAATCGGGGAAAGGAGGGAACAACAGTGCATATACTTTTTTAAATTAATTAATCAATTTTTATTGCAAATGTTTCTCCCCCCAGACACCCTCCTCCCTATGTACTTTAAATACAGTTCTCTTACAGTTATCAAAAGAGATCACAGACAATATACTTAATATATTAGTGGCAAACAGACACATATATATCAAGACTACAAAATACAGACAGTCATCAACTTGCACAAATGTTCAGTGCTTAAAGACAGTGCAGAGATAAATGCCCTCAAGGCAATCACACCAAGCTGTTTAGAGGACTATTGTGATATATAAACAAAAATGGTGTGACAATTTAGAGGTTGACTTATCATCAGACATCTAAGCAATACCACCTCACTCAGTGCTGACCAAAAATGTTCAACACTTCACTTTATGACTTTCTTAACCTTGTCACACTGCATAAAAGTCTATCAACTATTGATCTATGGAGGTATAAACACATTACTCATTTTAATGTATATTTTCCATCCAGCAACAGTAAATTTGCTCTTTTCTGACCAATCCTTCCATTGAGCAAAACCATGTAAAACATGAAATGCCTCAGTTTTTAAGTTCAAAAGGCAGTAAAAACTTGCTGCACCACATTCTAACAAAGGAAGCCCAGAGAACAAGTCCTTGTTCTGAGAGCCTCCATCCCATCAGGTAACACTTTTCCTAGGTGTACTTGTGGGGCTTGGATAACAAGAAGTTTAGCAGAAATCAACAGAGAGACTGAGAAACCGAGAAGAGTCAGGCAACTAAAAAATTAGGTAATAAAAATTGGAATTTAAGTTATGCTGAAGGGAACCCTAATAAGTGCCAGATTTTCACTTGAGATCCTGAAAAACTATATTCTAAAACAAATAATAAATTAAAAACTATCAATTTTCCAAAGGACTAGAGCCCAGCTTTGAGTCCCTGTCAACCCTCACTGAATTGAAGTGCTTTTCTCCTAGGCTACCTGCTGCCAGAAACAGGAAATCTCTGGAGAAAATTACCACAACATCCAGAGTCATAAGTGATCCCGAAAATTTTACATACATAATATTCATCATTCAATCAAAAATAAATAGGAAACTGAGTAATAAGAATTGACTGAAAACAAAAATAAAACCGAACATAAACAGACCCAACAAGTTTAGTGGAATTATCAGGAGTGAGCTTAAATTTCCATTAATATACTCAAGAAATAAAAATTTCCCCCCAAAAGGCAAAACTAAACCATAGTTAGAGGTCAAGATAGTAGGTACCTTTAGGAAGGAGAGTAGGGATCATACTGGAAAAGACACAAGGAGGACTTCCGGTCAAGATGGCGGGTAGGTAAACGCGGTATCGCGTCCTCCCACAAACACATCAAAGTTACAACTAAACTACAGAACAACCATCATTCAAAACCGCCTGAAATCAAGCTGAATGGAAGTTGTACAACTACGGAATTAAAGCAGCAGCCACATCGAGACTGGTAGGAGGGGCGGAGGCGCGAGGCGCGAGGGGTGGTGGCAGCGGCGCGACAGCGGCTGCGGCGACGTGGCGGTGCAACGGGCTGGTCCCACACCCAAGCGTGGCGGATAAAAATCAGGAGGCTCCCGCGGCTGGGAAGGTCCTTCCTGAGGACTGAGGGGTCCCCGTCCCACACCAGGTGCCCCGCTCAGGGTTCCAGTGCCAGGAAGAGAATCCCCATAACTTCTGGCTGGAAAAACCAGCGGAAACTGAGGTTCAGGGAAGCTGAAGCGGCTGGAGCCCCAGGCAGCTCCCTAAAGGGCCCGCGCACGGATTTATCGGACTCTCTCCCTCTAAGCTCGGAGGGGAGGCAGCTCGAGGGGCGCCAGAGACATACAGGGAAGAACTGAGCTGTTCAGCATTGGAGCGAGGGCTGGAGAAGGGGCTTTCTCGGGGACAAACGTGCTGTAAGAGGCCTTTGTTCCTTTGGTGAGCCCTTCCCGGGGGCGGCAGACAGAAGCCATATCTGGGACTCCAGCAACCTGGCTCACACTGGTAGCCCCGCCCTGCTGACTTCCTGAGGCCCCGCCCCGCCCCACACAACTTTCAAGCCCACCCAAGCTGTTGCCACTTGCTTAACCATAGGATTGGCCGGTCTTGGATCCTGCTTCAGGTTTTTCCTAAATTCTTTCAAATGAGCAGCATCGGGTCTCAGCGAGCCCCATACCTCTCATTAAGTAATACACAGAAACAAACACAGGGAGGCAGCCAAAATGAGGATACAAAGAAACAGGTCCCAAATGAAAGAACAGAACAAAACCCCAATAAAAGAACTAAGCGAAACTTCAAAGGGAAAGGGGTTGGGGGGGTGGGAAGAAATAAACCAAAGAACTTATATGCATAACCAATGGACACAGACAATAGTGTAGGAAAAGGTGGGAGGGGGGTGGGAGTGGGGAGGAGGGGGTCAATGGGGGAAAAATGTGGAACATCTGTAACACATTTTACATCCAACAATAAAGATTTAAAAAAAATGGAAAAAAAAAAAAGACACAAGGAGATTTCTGGGTTACCAACATTGTTCTATTTTTTACTTATGTAATGTTCACATGGGTGTTCTTGTGATAATTTATCAGGTTATACACATATGGATTATTTACCTACAACATTTCAATATAGTATACTATTATATAATGTGAAAAAATTATATTTTGTTCTTTAATACAAATTTATTTAAGAAATGCCCTATCCCTCATCAGTGACACAGGCTGACCTTCAATCACAGCCTACTGAGAATTTCATTGACCAGGCTTGCTATTCTCCTAACCATCGACATAAGATCAACTATACTGAATGAATGGCAATTTTGATAAAGGATACATAGGAATAAAAAGCTGTGTTCTAAGGTCCAAAAGAAATAAACTTATAATTGAAATCTTGAAACATAATAATATTTTAGTTGAGAAGTTGGCTTGTAACAACTTCTTAGAGTGGTAAATGATGTTAGAGCAGTCAAACAAAAAGACATTTCAATAAATTTACAGTCAAATCCATCCACAAGGCAAATCAATATTCAATATTTTCCATAACCTGGCCTCATAAGGTAAGACTGGTACTGAAAGACATAATTTTAACATTCAAAACAATGAATAAAAACCAAATGCTCAGCAATAGCTCTTCTACCTGCTCCAAACCTCTGCCGGAGTCAAGTTAATTGAATCTGTGTGTTATGATTGGGAGTTCCAGTTTAGGCAAAGGGGACTAAGTCCTAACAGATTGTCCCTCCTACAGATAACAGCTATAAACTCTAAACAAAATACAAACAAAACTAACTTTATGAGGGCTTCAGAGAATGAAGAAAAGCAGTCAATTTGGGGAGAAATGACAGACCTTGGAAGAAATAATTATCACAGTAGTGTTCTTTTGCCATTGCCCTAAGGATGAGGATGGGCCAAGTGGTTGGAGGGGAAAAAAAACATCAGCAAGTTCCCTGACTTTTTGTTCTAATGACACAGGAATGAAACCCAAAGCAACCACAGCCTCTGGAATGTGAGGAGAAAATGCCAGAAAGGACAGGTTTGAAAAAAGTAAAGCCCAACTTCCACGTAAACTCTGTTCCAAGTCTCTGTACAAGTGTGTGCAGAACTGAGCGTGTGCAGGTCAGATTACCAGCCGCCCAGGTAAAGGTGAAAGAGTTCAACTTTTATTGGCGATACCCCCAAAGTCAGATGAGACAGAGTTTTCAGTTTAGTCTAAGCAAGTTAATTGCCTGCTAAATCCAATAAAGCAACATTCTTCAGAGAACTGTAACAATTCAGAATCTCCATAGCATAACTATTCACATCATCAAACATATTTTAAAGATCACTGAACTTTAGCAAACTAGAAAACTATGACCTGGTCCATTCTCAAGGGAAAAGACAATCAATAAAGTTCTACTGTAAGTTGACCTAGAATTTTGGAAATGTGAGGCAAAGACTGTAAAGTAGCTTTTATAACTATGCTCCATGTGATAAAGTACATCCAAAATAGGTTTAAAAAATAAAAATGATGAACAGAGAAAGAGAAAAAAAAGAGCCAAGTGGAAATTTAGAACTGAAAGAGAGTATCTGAAATTTTTATTTTATTTTTTAAAAAATTCAATGAATTGACTAAAGGAAGTTACAAAATCTGCAGGGAAATAATGCCAAAAGGAAATGAATGAACATCATAAAAAATGGTCAACAGTTGGGTAAACTTATTATTATATTTTTATATACATGTCTTTCAGCCACTGAGATAGCCACTATACAGAATTTTAGAACTGGAGGGAGCCGTTAAGATTATATATTACAATCATCTCTTTTACAGGTGAAACGTCTGAGGCTCAAAAAGTGAGTGCCCAGCCCTGGCCGGTTTGGCTCAGTGGTTGGCGCATCAGCCTGCAGACCAGAGAGTCCTGGGTTCGGTTCCCACTAGGGGCATGTACCAAAAAAAAAAAAAAAAAAAAGTAAAAACAAAAGTGAGTGCCGAGCTCAAGGCCATAAAGTAAGCTGATGTCTCCAGTAAAGCCTGGCATTTGTACTCTGCTTCTCAAGCTACTTTGGTCCCTCAGCACCAATTCTAAACACGTTGCAGATCCTGCATGGCAGCAGCAACCCTTCTCAGATATAACTCCTTTATGTCTCAGTTTCTTAATCTGTAAACTGGGTTTAAAGATAACATCTACCTGAAAGGGCTCTCATGAGTATTTAAAAATTAACATATATAATGTAATTCAAACGCTGTGTGGCACATAGTGGGTGCAATATAATAAAGAGCCAACTATGATAGGGCCTGCTGCCTGCGTTTTCTAAAACATCTCCCTGATGACTTATTCCCGGAGGAAAAAACAAAGGTTCAAAATAAAATAGTATGTGAAAGAAAAGAAGTTCACAACGTTTCACTTATTCATGCCCCATAACGACTGTCCCGTTATAGTGCGAGAGCTCCAGCCTGAAACCGTGGATGGGAAGGACTGCGGCCGCTGACTCACACCTTGGGACTCACTGCCAGAGGCAGACAGCCATTAGCGGTAGAAATAAAGCAAGTTGAGTAAGAAGGCTTAAGGAAAATACTGAAATAAGAAAGCTTATCCTTGGCAAAGAAAATGGGATTTAGATAACACAGCATTTCAGTAGTCAATCACTGGCCACAGTAAAAAAAAATATATAGAGAGAGAGAGAGAGAGGAGAGAGAGAGAGAGAGAGAGAGAGAGAGAGAGAGAGAGAACCTCAAGAAAACCTGGTGCTTAACTAAGCATTAGTGACTAAAATCTAATAAAATTTCCTATATTTCTGATTTTTTCAAATCTGTTAATCACAGACACTAAGAATGACCCAATATGAATTGACCTGAAAAGCAGGAAGAATTGAAAATAAAGTAAATTTTATCTTCCATGTCATGAACATTCTTACTAACATATGCACGAGAGGCAATTGCAACTTTCAATTAAGCATGAAAATATTTATACAATCATATTCCTCATGAGACAAAGAAACAATATGTAATGTAAAATAAGACTGTCAGTAAGTACTTCAGGGTAGGGCTGGCATTTCATTTTACAGCAAATTTCTTAATACCAAAGACCAGAACATTGATAAGATCACGCCACAGTTCTATTTAAAGCTATGTTATTGTTCCAAGGCTCCCAGTTTGCTTACCATTTCTTCAACATAAGGATAAAGCATGTCGCCAAAGTATTCTGTAGCTTCGATTGGAAGCTGCGCCGGCAAATTGTCAATGGAACACATCAGAATCCCAGAGCCTTCAACACTAGGAGAAGCAATATGCTTTATTTGGATGTACAAAATGTTACTTGTAAGCTCTAACTTTTCCAGGTGTCTACTCCATTATATTTGCTTCATATCATTTGTAATATTGTACTAAAGTATGTAACAAAATAAAAGTTTTCAAACAAAACTTTTCCCTTCTTCAGCAACCCATCTGCAATTTAAATATAATACATATGTATCTAAGTGTCCTAATTTGCATGTGGGTTTTCTACTAATTTTTTTTTTTTATCCTCACCCAAGGACATTTTTTAATTTATCATCAAATAGAGTGGGAGGGAGAGAGGGGGGAAGAGAGAGAGAGAAACATCGATGTTAGACACATCGACTGGCTGCCACCCACACGACCCCAACCCAGGCGGGGATGAACCGCAACCAAGGCACATGCCCTAAGCGGGAACCGAACCCAGGTCTCTCTGGTCCGCGAGCTGACGCTTTAACTACTGAGCCAAACCAGCCAGGGCTCTACCTAATTTTTAAATACATTTCAGCATATCTCTGGAAATTTACAGTCTTTATAAAGATGTAAAATATTGAGGATTTTAGACTAATATACAAAGTTAAGTAAATGATGTATTGTTATGTATCTTTCACTATCTAACAGCTTTAGCAAACTCACCTGTCATGAATAATATGCTGGTCTGCATCATACATGCAAAAAGGATGCTCTATTGTCGTACACTCGGTCATAAACTCTATAGATCCTCCTGTGTCTGCTGAAATGTCACATATTGCTACAAGTCTGAAAATAACATCAATATTTAGATCAGAGCATGGAACTCTATAAAGTCTCCAACAAGATAAAAAATGAATAAAAATAAAAGGTGCTTGAAACGATTTTCAAGGTGGCTGCCTACTCTCTTAACCTTTTTTCCCTACAGCTCACTGTGTTCTTCTGGGATACACAGCATCTTCCCACTATGAGTATCAGGCTTTACAGAAGAAAAAGGAGGAGGAGCAGAGGATGGAAGGGGAGGGGAAAGAAATAAAAGTGGAAAATCCCTTTCCTAGATATATCATTGACAACAGCCTACACTGAACCTACTTAACCAACTCCCACCACCCTGCTCAGTACTACATCATTTCATATGTTATTACATGGAAATATCTAGAATCATGAACAAATGTCTCTGCCCACTGTTTGAAATCCTTTAGGTTGAGTCCAATTTTCCTGCCCAATCTCCGTTTACCATTTGCCTATATAAACCCTATGTTATAACCAGACTGCCCCATGCATGTGTCTTAACTGTGCCTTGGTGACTCCGTATCTATCAAGTAGTAATGCAGTTCTCATTCTCTTCACTCCTCCCTCTTACGGCTTCGTTGAGCCCCAGCTCCCACTTTCTTCTTAGCTCTGATGACAATGATTGTTCCTAGCATTCCCCTGGAACTTACTTGCTGCCAGCTACATGCCTGAGGAGAGCAACCACAATTTTACTCTTCTCTATCCTTTAGCTCAGCAGAGTGCCAGACAGACCTGGTGTCCCATAAATATTTATTGGTTAATTAATTAATCGGACATTTAATAATTATTTGAATGTATATTATTTGTCAGGCAATGTCCTGGATACTTGTGGCCAAGAGAAATAGGGGCCGTCCCCTTACTAAGATTAAGTTCGAGTAGGAGAGGGAAAATCATAAACACTGGAAAATAAATGATGGTGAGTTTCAGGAAAAGAAACAGAGGAACAGGAACAGACTAGAAAGAGAAGGGAATGGGGAAGCAGAAAAGGACCTCACTGAAGAGGAGACTTCATTTAGAGCTACGTATGCAGCCACAGAACTTAAGTTTCAAGAAGGAAGAAAGTTTAACTGTCAAATGCTCTCAAGAGCTCACCTATGGTAAGGCAGACAACTGCTCATTAACACACAAGTCGTCTGATATGTGGATTCCCTATGTGTGATACCCTAATAGTGGGCCCTGCGGCTAAAAATCGCCATCATTGCAGAAGTAAAGTCCTTACTTGTGTGGCAATGCAGGGCAGCCTTCCACACCAACAACTGAGGACTTGCCTGGAGCCAGGAGACTCTGAACATCTTGGCGGGTTAGTAGTCGAGGGCTGTTTTGTTCCCAGTAGATTCCATTAATAAGACAAGTTGTGTAGGGTGCAATCTGTAAAGCAAGTTTCAAGTTCAACAATCTAGGAAACAGTGTATTTCAATACGGTATGCTGAAAGAGAGCTATCGGTAAATTCCATGAGAAATAATTTAATGTTATTTCAAGTTGACTTCATTTGCCAGGTCAGTGGACTTCTTTTGGGTCAGAGACAATAAATAATCACCTGTTTTCAGTGTAAATTGATAGAGAAATATATGAACATAAGTGTATTAATACATTTGTTCGATAATATATTACATAGCCAAGAAAAAGAAAGGGACAAAGAATTAGGTGACCTAGCACTCTATTTGCAGCTCAACCACCAATACAGCTTGACCTAAATCAGGCTACCTCAACTTCTCTGGGCTGCTTTCTTTAGCTGCCAGATGGGGATAATACATATCCATCCTCAAAGGAATGTTGTGAAGATTAAATCAGATAACATATACAAGCTCCATGGACAAATGTACTACATACATGTATACATGGTAACTAGGTCATTATAAGTGTTAGGATGTAGCCAATCAGCAATACTTCTGTGATTGGGAAAAAGAGAAGGGATGGGAATTTACTAGATTCAAAATTTTTCAGTTTGACACCAGTTTTGTACTATTTCTTTCTCAGGTGTCTCAAGAATTTGCAAGTTATAGGTAATGGTACTTTCCCATAACATGCTTTACATGCTAAACACTAAATTTCACACCAGAATCTCAAACTGCTATGTTATTGAAACATTCAAAATTATTTAAAACATAATATTCCTTTTCATCATACATGCATGCATTTTTTTTTTTTTTTATTTTGTATTGGTTTCTTTTGAGGAGGACTGTTGCATGACAGACCAATGACTATAGAACACACAAACACATTGTTCTTATATGATGAGGCCAGTACGCCTCTATCAGAAGGATTTTAATTGTAAGTAACTTTTTTGTACACTGGGAATGGGTCTGTGCTTACATAGCCTCACTATTTCATCCTGGGGCCCTGTAATCGATGGTATGCATTTCAAGACAGCTGGCTGAGGTTATGATTACAATTTTTGGTTATGGAAGGAATAAACCTATGTTGAGATCAAACCTCATAGACACTGTGTTTTGCCAACAGTACAAGCTAGTCGGGGATAAACACAGAAAACAGTAAACCACAGGAAATGTGTTGGAGCTATTGGGCACATGCAGACCTAAAGTAGAAACAGAGACAGTGAAGCAAATGGCACAGCCACAGAAACCACCAGAACCACTCAGCAAAGGCCACTGCAAACATCAATAAAAGCCAATGGCTCCTTAGGCCAACTCATAAGATCCAAGGGACTCACAACAAGTCAGTATGAGAAACTGAAAAGCAATGTACACATTCATAGTTTCTCTCCTGAAAATAGCTTGGCTATAGTGTATTATGAGCAGCTAACTCAAAAGCTGAATATGGTACTCACTTCAGTATTAAAACGACTTATGTAGCGCTCAGGATATTTGTCATATTCCACAGGATCATATGCACCATCTGTTTTCCTGACAAGGTGATGATGGCGACTTAACACTGTTCCATACACTTTCCTCAGGTCTTGCAAAGGAGAAAGAAATTAGTAAAGTGGGTAACAAATGATAAAGATTTATGGCGATAAAATATTATAACACAGAAACTGTTAAAAACAGTAAAAAAAATATATATATATATACAGCCACCCTCCCTCTCTTACCTCCAGTTTGTGAAACTTCTTTTAATTCATGTGGTTCCACATATTCACAGGGTAGTTCATTGAAGATTTCTTGGGCTCCCTGTAAATAACACGAGTAAAATTCTAAACATCAATAGAAGAGCCAACATGATTTCATGCAAATATTCTAATTTGTTTTCCCCACAGTTATAAAGTCCCACTTGTCCTGCCTGCAGCCAGGACTTTACATGGACGTACAGATGGGTTCTTGCTCACAGCAAGCAGTTTGAACACCATGCACTGGAAGGGGCTTTAATTCTTTTTAAGTTATTCAGCATAGGAACAAGAGTATTTAAAAATGAGAGCACAATAAAATATTCCTATTTACTTTTTGCTTCTTTGCAGAAATTATTTCAAGTGGGGAAACTATATTTCCTACCAAAAAATTAGATACCTATCTCACAGCATACTACAAATAGTGATGTCTTCTTTGTAAAATATTTTCATTGAAGAGAGATCTATTTTACAAATTTCTCTGGGGCTAAGAGGTAGGGATTACAAATGCATCCTTAAAACCATCTCAGAAGGAAAAATTATTTATTTCAGTCATGAACTGAGCTTCCTAATATCTGATTGGCAAAACTCCAAGTCATATTGAAAAATTTACATCGTGGGGTAACTTCCAAACTTTTGGACATCTCAATGACAGAGGTAAAACAAATCACCCTAAGATCAGAGCTTTATACCATTAAAAATGAGTTATCCCTCTAAAAAAATAAAAAAAAACATTCAAAACCTCTCACAGCTTGGAATCAACTAAAAGCATAGAACATAAATTTGGACTATGACTGCTCTTTACTATGGTAAAGGTACATAGGTAAGGAAAGTACCCAAACTAGAATGCCTATTCATGAAAAAGTGGGGCTCTAAAATGTTCACAAAATGCCCACATCTTTTGGGTTTGTTTCAGAGTTTCAGGCTGCTTTACAGAAACAAGACAGGTGGATTTACCTTAGATACATTACCAGTCCCTGTGAACACAAATGTTAAGGGCCCTATCGACTTGGGCATCAAACCCAGAGATATTTCATAGCCAGCATCACGGACAGCTTGCACAGCCTGGCTGCTGTTCCTATAGTTATGAGCCATGCCAATGTGCTGAAAGCAAGCACACAATTCAAGTTAGTCTACCACCAGAGACATTTTCCTATCTAAAAGTGTGATAAGTATTTACAAAAGAAAATAAACATCTCACCATAAAAGGTGTGTGATGTCCCAAAGCAAGGAGCCTCAAACCCATTCCATGTAAAATGTTGATCATCCCTATTGCAGAATCAGACCAATAGAAAGAACATTAGTTGGGAGGAGTAGAAGCTGTTCCCTCTGCCTCATTCTCCAACCTGCTCAGACTCTAAAGAAGCACAGACCACAGCGTCTCAGATTTGGAAGAGGCCCCAGCCATCATCTTATCCATCCCCTCAACTTTCTGCCACTAAAAGCACTAGGCCAGTTTCATCCCCACCCATCCCTTCCACTTTCAATCTTGCTACAATGGAATGAGTGTTCCTCTTCTTCTCTACAGGTTATCACTCCACCTTTGCTCCAGATGCCATCCCTTTCTGCTTCTCTAAGGAATCCACTCTTGAATTATTCTTTCCACTATCCCTATCCATTAGCTTATTCTTATCAACAATTAAACATCTTCCATTTCTCCTATACCAAAAACAAAGAACAAATAAAAATAAAGTCACCATTGACCTCATGACCCCCATGAGCAATTTTAGTGACCTAAATAGCTAAACTCAGTGGACACATTAGATCTCGACTTGCTTATCAGAGGTATTTAGCAATGTAGAGCCCCACTTTATCGGAATACTCTTCCCTCAGCATCCCCGATTTGAGATTTTTCATCCTACATTTCTGTAGGTACCGCTTCTCATGCCCATTCCTTTTATGTTAGTGTCTTCTGCCCTTTTCTTATACATTAATCAGCTAGTATCAGGATTCTGTCCCAGGCCCTATTCTCTTCAATCATTCTTTTTTTTTTTTCTCTCATAGATAATCTCATCCAGCCCTGAATTCCAAATATTCTCTATATACGGTGACCACAAATCTGTATGCCTAGCACAGATATTTTATTTCAAGACCTAACCATCCACCTTATGAATTTCTCAGTTTGTATGTCCTGAAAAAAGCAAAAATTCCATGCCTGTAGTACAGACCTCAGCATCCATTCCCTTTTTCTTTTTTAGAAATAGACTTTTCCTGTCCAGATCCCTGCCAAGTTTTCTTTTTTTTTATCCTCACCCAAGGACATTTTTGCATTTATCTTAATAGAGTGGAAGGGAGAGAGGGAGGAAGAGAGACAGAGAGAGAGAGAGAGAGAGAGAGAGAGAGAGAGAGAGAGAGAGGTATGTAAGAGAGACACATCATCTCGTCGACTCGTCACAACAAACACAACCCCAACCAGGGCTGGGGACAAACCGCAACTGAGGTACGTGCCCTTAGTGGGAACCGACCTGGGCCTCTCTGGTCCATGGGCCAATGCTCTAACTGCTGAGCCAAACCTGCCAGGGCCCAACTTTTCTTTTATATTTTTTCAGAAATCAATTTTTAAAGGAATAGTTTATACACAATAAAACACACCACTTAAAGTGTATAGTTTAATAACTATTAACAAATGTGTATAGACACATTACCACTAACATAATCAAGATACAGAATATTTCTAGCACCTCAATCAATCCTCCCCAACCCTTGGCTCCAGACAACTACCTATCTTATTTTTGTCTGTACAGATTAGTTTTTCCTACAGTTTCATATAAGTAACATTGTAAGTATATAGTCTTTTTTGTGTGTCTGTTTGCAGCTTAATGTTTTTGAAATTCTTATGTACTTTGTGTGTATCAGTACTTTACTTCTTTTTATTGCTGAATTTTCCACTTTACAGATATATCACAATTTATCCATTCCTCTGCTGATGGGCATTTGGATTGTTTCTAGAATATTATAAATGAAGATACTATAAACAAGTCTCTATAAAAAAATAATTTATTTCTCTTAATAAGTGTCTATGTGTAGAATTTATTTTGTACATTGATATTCAAGATTTATTTAAGTTCTCCTTGAGTTGATTTTGGTAATTTGTGTCTTTCAAGAATTTGTCTATTTTAATCACCATTGTCAAATTCATTGGCCTATTCATAATATTCTCTTATCCTTTTAACATTTATAACTATATAGTGTGAGTCCCTCTTGGGTTCCTAATGTTGGTAAATAGTGTCTTTTTTTTTTTTTATCAGTCTAATTAAAGTTTATCAATTTGATTTATTTTTACTTTTTTTTTCTTTATTGATTTTATAGAGAGAGGGAGAAAGAGATAGAAACATCAATGAGAGAGAATATCAACGGGCCACCTCGTGCATGCGCCCCACTGACGATTTGGCCCACAACCTGATCATGTGCCCTGACTGGGAATCGAACTGGCGACCTCTTGGTACATGGGTTGACACTCAACCACTGAGTCACACTGGCTAGGCAATTTTATTGATTTTTTTAAAAAGAATCAGCTTTTGATTTCATTGATGTTCTCTCATTTTCCTGTTTTGATTTCATTGATTTTCCCTCTTACCTTTATGATGTCCTTCCTTGTATTTATTTTGGGTTTAATTTCTTGGTCATTTTCTACCTTCTTCAGAAGGAAGTTTAGATCATTAACTTGAGACTTTCTTCTTTTCTAATAAAAGCATTAATTGCCATAAATTTCCTTCTGAGCACCACTTTATCCTCATCCCAACAATTTTGGTCTGTTGTGCTTTAAACTTTTACTCAATTAAAAAGATTTTCTAGCCCACCTTGTATGGCTCAGTGGATTGAGCATTGCCCCATGGACTGAGAGGTCCAGGTTCAATTCCTAGTCAGGACACATGCCCAGGTTGCAGGCTCGATCCCTAGTGGGAGGCATGCAGAAGGCAGCCAATCGATGTTCTCTCTCATCGATGTTTCTCTCCCTCTCCCTTCCTCTCTCTCTCTAAAATCAATAAAAAAAATTAATATATATATTTTTCTAATTTTTCCAGTGATTTCTTCTTGATTCTTGAATGAGTTATCAAAAAATACATTATCTTTCAAATATTTAAAAACTTTCTACATGTCTTTCTATTAAAATTTCTGAGTCAGTTTTATTATAGTCAGAGCACACACTCTATGGTTTCAAACCTTTTAAATGTATTAAGAATTGTTTTGTTACCCAGAATATGGATGATTTGAGTGACGTTCCCCATGACTTGAAAAGAATGTGTCTTCTGAAGTTGTGGAAGGTGTGCTCAATAACTGTCAATTACTTCAGAGTGGATGACAGAATTTCAGTGTCCTATATTCTTACACATTTCTGTCTACTTGTTCTGACAATTGCTGACCTTCAGGTTGTCTAATCTGATACAGAGTTGTAACATAGGGCGTTTCCCAACTAAACAAGGTTCAAAGTACCAACTGGGACAAAAATCAAGTAGTTTTTCCCCAAACTCCAGTTTCTGTCCTTTCCAGATTGCTCCTTTGTTGCTCCAGCCCCATACCTTTATCTTCTTTGTTCCTTTTTCTACTCTCCAATTTCACAATTTCTCATCACCAAACTAGCCTCTCCTTCTTGTCTTCCAAACAGAACTACTGAGCAACTCAGAGCCTATCTATACTTGTTATCCTTCTCCCTGCCCTCTCTTTCTTTTTAACATTTGTAATAAATATATTTTAATGATTTACTATCTTATTCTAGTTCCCTGATAGTCACCACCCTCAGACACACCCTTACATTTATTTTTATTGGGGAAAATGGACTCTGCCATCCTCTTGCCACACAAAAAAAGAAAACTTGTAGTCTGTCCACAGTCAAATTTAGAACATGGGTGATGTAAAAGCCCCTGCACACCTACCTGCCACACCAGCCCACTGTCCAAATGCCACGACCCGAATTCCTCTATGATCCACCATTTTCTCATAATCAATAAGTCGGATTTCCTAAAGACATAAAAAAAAATTTTCTTAACCAGACCCATCAAGTTTAATTTCAATGAATAAAGCACATACACGAGCAAGTCAGTATTTCACATTTTTTCCTCTTATAAAACATATCTTGACTTGCCATCATAAGTTACCATAAAGTGCACCCTGATATATTTGGAAAATTTGGGATCACAAGCCAGTGATAGGTTTGTGATTAGAGATGAAAAAATGGTCCTCACTGGGTGCTAAATGCCGCATGAAGGTATTTAAATAATAAAATCATGGTTTCCTTTAAATTTTAGCCCAGCATGATTATAAATATATCTATAGCCCCATTTCTTTTCACATCCTTCTTTTAGCCTCAAAGAAAACAAGTCCCTCTTGAGACTAAGCCCTGTGAACTAGATCCCAGCTTTTTCCATGTCCTCCAAGACCATTTTTCTTGAGTTTTTTCTCTATCCTGATATATTCTTCTCTGCACTGCTCCTTCCCTTCAGCCATTCTGAGTGACATTCACCAGGTCTCTTCCACCTTAAAAATAATAACACCAGTCGCTCTCAACACGCTCAAGTCCATACATACAAATACCTCATTATCTCTCTCCCCCGCTCCTCCTCTCGTTTTTCTCTCTCCATCTCTTCACAAGTAAGTTTTATTTAAAAAGTAGCACAACCTGCCTGGTTTTTACTTTCTTGCTTTCACTAAAACCACAGTCTTCCTCTTTTCTGGAGAGTCTTGCCTCTCTTACGAATGTCTTATTAATTTGGGGTTAAATGCTATTGACATGTAATTATGCAATGTTTTAAATAGTCATTTTATTTCCTCAAAGATCATATGGTTTTACCATGTACATGAATGTAAGAATGTTTAATATTCACCCAACTCCAAGTAATTGGTTATAAACCACTGCCAAAAAGCAGTCCTGCTGGGTCTGTTTTTATTAATTTACTTGTAATGAACAAAAGTTCATATAACAAAAAAAAAACACAAAAAAAATGTTTCTAAAGTACTGGTTTACAGAGTTTATTTGCTTAAGGCAAAACATTCTTCTTATAATATTACTTGAATTAATTACTTTTTGAATTTGTTCTTCAGAAACATTACAAATTAACTACAACCTAGGTCTAGCATATTTCAAATTACTGGGAATGTGTTCTATGCTCCTATGTAAATTACTTCCATTGCTTTTGCTATTTGTGAACTCTCCTGTCCTCTGCCTATTCTCAGATTCTAGTCTAGTTTCTAATGTTCTAACATCCTTGGCACAGGACTTAGACCTTGGACTTCTCTATTTACACTCAATCCCTACTCTCATCCACTCTCGTGGCTTTAGATACCATCTAGTCTCTGGCAACCACAAAATGTGTATCAACTTGATAATTAAAAGTAATATATATATATATATATATATATATATATATATATACTATTTCTATGTTAATATTTATGAGTGTTAGTCACCAATTACCTGTTTTAGAATCTCATCCAGTAGACCCATATTGGCCTCCTGGGCCTTTATTGTGTGAGAGAAGAATGCATAAGTCTTCTTGGATATTAATTTATCCTCTGGTGGTCTTTTAACTCCCAAAATAAGACAAGCTTCAGAAATATCCTCCTGAAGAATGCCACCAGCTTTGACATATTCCTGGGAATGTAATTTTGGTTAAAAGTTATTCCCCTGATTTTTTGTATTCATATTTTCTTTAATGAAGAAGTATAGCAATTAAAGGTACAATCTTATGATGGAATAAAATCTGTATAAATAAGAACAAATAATAGAATAACTACTAATATTTTTACTTGCTGGCTAAAGATCAATATAACATGTTTGAGTTTTATAGCAAAAAAATTAGAAAATTTAGCATACACTCCTATTTAAGAACAGTTAATAGTTTGATCATAACCACTAGATATATGATTTAAATGTAATAGTGAAATATATTTTTATAATAGCAATTCACCAAAATATTAAATACTAAGTAGTAATTTATTACTCAGGTTCATTTTTTTTTTAAAGAAAAATATATCTCCAATATTGACGTTTCTGTGTTTAATTACTGTTTATTACTGCCCTACTCAGTACAATAGACTGTGTTAGAGATGAGGTGTTAAAACACAAAGAAAGACAGACAAATACCTCCTATAAGAAACCCATAAAATACAGTAAAAAAGAAGGCAGGAGCATAGAAAATGAGGCTGAATTCAAAAGAACATTATGACCTGCTGAATCTAAGAGATATTATTAATTCAATGGATACTGAGAAAATTCCCAGGTGAGATAATGAACGAAGTAGAAAAATTTAAATTAATCTAGAAGGTTGGGTAGGATTTAAAGAGGTGGAAATGAGAAATATAAACTGGCATATCAGTAAGAGGCTTTGAAGGAATATATACAAATATGGAGACAGGAAAGTAAAGATGTTTAGGACATATGAAAAAATCAATTTGGAAAAGTAGATTAAATATTATCATGGTAAAGATGCACTTTATTGGATCGAAATAAAATAATCATCATCATTTATGAACATAGGGGTACATTTATTCTTTCTGATTGGTGTTTCAGGTTTCTTAGGGTATATTCCTAGAAGTGGGATCACTGTGTCAAATGGCAGTTCAATTTTTAACTTTTTGAGGTAATACCATAGTGTTTTCCATAGTAGCTGCACCAGTCTGCATTCCCACCAGCAGTGTACTAGAGTCCCCTTTTCTCCACACCCTCACCAACACGTTGTTGTTTGATGATTTGTTGATAGCGGCCATTCAGACAGGTGTGGAGTGATACCTCATAGTTGCTTAAATTTGCATCTCTCTGATAATTAGTGACCGTTGAGCATTTTTCATGTCTCTTGGCCATTTGCATGTCCTGGAGAGTATTATTATGCTAAGCGAAACAAGTCAAGCAGAGAAAGAAAAATATCACATGATCTCACTTAGTTGTGGAATATAATGAGCTAAACAAACTGATGAGCAAAATTGTCCCAGAGACATAGAGGTAGGGTACAGAGTGACTAACCTCAGAAAAGGGGGTGTTGGTGGGGAGAGATGAACCACAGAACTTATATGCATGTATGCGTAACCAATGGACATAGACAACAAAGCTGGGGATGGGGCAGGGGGGATGGGGAGGAAGGTGTCAATGGGGGAAAAAAGAGAAACATCTGCAACAAAAAAAATTAATAAAAATAATTTAAAAAATAAATTTTAAAAAATCATCATCATTTATTAATAAATTACTATGTGCTTTGCTAAGTTCTTTGCATGAATTATTTTACTTAATTCTCACACTCCCATGAGGTAAGTACAGTTATTATCCCCATTTTATCAAGAGGAAACCTGAGGTTTAAACACTTAACTGAGATTGCATAGCTAGTACATGGAGGAAACAGAAATTCATTTCAGATTTTTAAATAAAGGTATAGCATGATACAAGCAGAACTGAAAAGAGTATTAAAGGTGGCAACTGAATAAAATGAAGATAAATCTAGTTGGGAATCTACTTCAAAAGAAAGTAAAAATGGATAGAAGAAATAGTTCAAGAATGAACATATGGTTTATATCTGGTTTCTTTGAAAAGTCTATTTGTCCTCTTATAGCAGACTGTTTAAATAAATCCCATACATAGTTACAGAATTTTTTTATTGTGATGAGAAATATAAAGGACTACTCTCTCAGCATTAACAGGTTTGTTGTTTATTACAATATTAGCATTGTGACTCCAAAATTATTTTATGTATATTTCATGGTAGAGCAAACAACAAACATTCATGTTATAAAAAATTAAAGTTTTCACTGCTGGAGAAACAAATACAAATATGACACTTTAAGGGTAAGTTACATGTTAAATGCAATGTTAAATTTTAATTGGAAATATCAATATTAGAGCATGATTAAATCATATATAATTATGTGTGTGTGTGTGTGTGTGTGTGTATTTCTTTGCTCTCCACTAAAAGGGCTAAAAGTAACAATATCTCAGTACCATAAGCACACTTAGCACTAGATACCACATCTTGGTTTCTATAAACAAAAAGAAATCAGGATTCCTTGATGAAATGACTGATACCAGGTGTGGGGCAGGAAATGCACAAGGTAAGGCTAGGACAATCTGTTGTTTCAGGCAACCAAAAATTCAGAGATAAAAGGATTCATGTCTAGCCCTGACCGGTTCGGTTCAGCAGTTAGAGCGTCGGTCTGCGGTCCAGAGAGACCTGGGTTCGGTTCCCGCTAAGGGCATGTACCTCGGTTGCAGTTTGTCCATGGTCCTGTTTGGGTCGTGCGGGTGGCAGGCACTCGATGTGTCCCTTTCACATCAATGTTTCTCTCCCCCCCCCCCCACTCTATCTGAACAAAAAACAAAAAAATGTCCTCGGGTGAGGATAAAAAAAAAGGATTCATGTCCAAATGACATAGGAGACCCCTTAAGGGGACTCTCACTATCTCAAATTTGAAATAATTAAGACATTATGTACCCATAATGATATTAAAAAGGGCAAGAGAGAAGAGAGGAACTAGTGCAACCTCTTTCTACAGAAGAATATCAGGAAAGAAAAGATTAGTAAAATCAGAAAATCATGACTTTGCAAACCTTCATGTAAAAATTGATTCAGGCAAAAATTATCAATGGATGCTAATATGATTAGTTGAAAGTTGTTGTGAAACAGAAAATTCACAGGTCTCAAAACAGCATCCCACAGATGACCCAGTAAGTACAAAGGGAGAAAGGTATTTTTGCAATGGAGAGATCTGGTAGTAACCACCTCAGCCAAGTGATCATACATTCCTCATGTGATGACTGATTTTTTAATGCCCTTGGTGCGATACAATAGAAAGAACATATATCATTTATGGAATATTTATGTCAAAATTATATAACTTTAATTGTCATGAGGCAAAAAGCAGACTAGTTACACCCAGAAGCAAAACATTGTACATGTCACCTGGCAAGGACTCTTCAAAAAGAGTCAATGTCATTGAAACAAACAAAAATCAGAAGGGGGGAGTGTGTTGTTTTAGATTAAAATAACTAAAGAGATGTAACAATAAATAAAAGAAAATTTAAGCTTCAGCTAAAATAAAAGACATTTGGGACAATGAGGAATTTGAAATAAATTATGTGAGACAATACTATGGAATAATTAATTCTTAGATGTAAAAATTATATAAGACTATACAGGAAAATAGTACTGAAATGCATACTGAGAATTTAGTAGTAAGTATCACAATGTCTGCCACATACTTTCAAATGGCTCAGGGGAAAAAGCATATGTATATCTTTAAAATGAAAATAAGAGTCAAACCTATATCATAATATTATTGTGAAAAGTCAAGGAAATAATGAATGTAAAGGGCTACACAGCGTGGTTGGCAAGGCAAACTATCATGAACAAAGTCCACTCAGTGAAGCATTTCCTGCAGGCAAGTCTTAGAGTCAAAAAACAGTAGTGTCTTATTGGCCTTGTCTCCCCAGTGCCAGAATTAGGGTCTGCCATGAAGGACAGAATGACTGAAGAATATCATCTCCTTCTAAAAGTAATCCCTCTACCATGGAATAAATTTAACCAAGGAGTAAAAGACCTGTATTCAAAATTAGAGGTCACTCAAGAAAGAAACTGAAGAAGATACAAATAAGTGGAAGCATATACCATGTTCATGGATAAAAATAATTAACATCATTAAAATATTCATACTACCCAAAGCAATCTACAAATTCAACACAATTCTCATTAATATACCAATGATATATTTCATAGGACTAGAACAAATATTCAAAAAATTATATGAAACCACAAAAGACCCCAAATAGCTACAGCAATCTTGAGAAAGAAGAGCAGAGTTGGAGAAATCATGCTACCATATATCAAACTATACTATAAAGGCCAATGTAATAAAAATAGCATGGTACTAGCATAAAAACAGACATATAGATCAATGAAACAGAATAAAGAGCCCAGAAATAAACCCACATCATATGGTCAATTAATATTCAACAAAGGAGGCAAGAACATGCAATGAAATAAAAATAGTCTATTCAATAAGTGATGCTGGGAAAATTGGACAGATACATGCAAAAAGTAAAACTAGGCCACCTTCTTACACCATATAAAAGAATAAATTATAAACTTAAAAACATAAGACTCAAAACCATAAAAATCCTAGAAGAAAACATAGGTAGTAAAATCTTAGATATTTCTCATAGCAATATGTTTTCTGATATATCTCCTCGAGAAAGGGAAACAAAAGAAAAAATAAACAAATGAGATTACATCAAACTAAAACATTTTTGCACAGCAAAGGAAATCATCAACAAAATGAAAAGACTAGGGTAGACCCAGAAACATGGAAGTAGGGTACAGACTGACAACCCTCAGAAGAGGGAATGGTAGGGGGTGGAAAGAGATAAACCACAGAACTTATATGCATGTAAGCATAACCAATGGACATGGACAACAAAGCCGGGGATGGGCAGGGGGGATGGGGAGGAGGGTACCAATGGGGTAAAAAAGGAGAAACATCTGTAACAAAAATAAAATTAAAAAAATAAATAAAATAAAATAAAATCTGACGAGCAAGAAAATAAATAAATAAATGCAAATAAATAAATAAATAAATAAATAAAATGTTACTTCTATATTACTGAGTGTTATCATAACCATCTGGGAAGTTCCCACTGAGCCAGAAAAATGCACCAATATTTATACCAAAGAGTTGGTATAAAAAAAAAAAAATGAAAAAGAGAGAACATATTTGCCAATTATAGATCTGATAAGGGATTAATATCCAAAATTTATAAAGAACTTATACAACTCAACACCACAAAAAACAATCTAGTTTAAAAATTGGCAAAGGACTTGAATAGAAACTTCTTCAAAGAGGATATACAGATGGCAATGGACATATGAAACTATGCTTAACATCACTAATTATCAGAGAGATGCAAATTAAAACCACAATGAGATATCACCTCTTACCTGTCAGAACAGCTATCATCAATAAGTCAACAAACAAGTATTGGCATCAATGTGGAGGAAAGGAAACCCTCCTTCACTGTTGGTGGGAAACAGTATGGATTTTCCTTAAAAAATAAAAAATAGACCTGCCTTCTGACCTAGTGATCCCACTTCTGGATAGCCTAAGAAATCTCAAAACACTAATTTGAAAGAATATATTCACCTCTACGTTCATTGCATATTTATTTACAATAGCCAAGAGCTGGAAATAGCCCAAGTGCCCATCAGTAGATGAGTAAATTAAAAAGCTGTGGTAAAAACAACAACAACAACAAAAAAAACTGTGGTACAGCCCTGGCTGGTTTGGCTTAGCGGTTAGAGTTGGCCTGTGAACCAATGAGCTGTGGGTTCGATTCTGGTCAGGGGCATGTGCCTCAGTTGTGGTTCGTCCCCAGACCAGGTTGACGTCTGTGGGAGGCAGCCGGTCAATGTGTACCTCTCACATCGATGTTTCTCTCTCTCTCTCTCTTTTTCCAACTCTATCTGAACAAAAAATGGAAAAAATATCTTCAGGTGAAGATTAAAAAAGAAAAAGCTGTGGTACATTTATACAATAGGATACTATGCAGTTGTGAAAAAGAAAGAAAAGAAAAAGAAAAAATGGAAATCTTACTCTTTGTGACAGCATGGATGGACCTGGAGAGTATTATGCTAAGTGAATAAGCCAGTCAGAGGAAGACAAATACCACATGGTTCCACTTATATGTGGAATCAAATGAACAAAATAAACTGACAAACAAAATTTAAACAGATTCATAGAAACAGAAAACAAACTGACAGCTGTTAGAAGGGAGTGGGGTTGGCGGGCTGGGTGAAAAAGGTGAAGGGATTAAACAAACAAAAAAATTCATATAGCCAAGACACAGACAACAGAAAGGTGATGGTGATTACCAGAGGAAAAAGGGGTGAATGGGGTAGAAGAGGGTAAAAGGTCAATAAATGATGACAGAAGGAAACTTGACTTTGGTTGGTGAACACACAATACAACATACAGATGATATGTTATAGAATTGTATACCTGAAACTTATATAATTTTATTAATCAATGCCATCCAAATAAATTCAATAAAAATTTGGGGAAAACCTCGAATTTTTTTTTTTTTTTAATTAAAACAATTCCGCTATCTCTCAGCTGGAGAAAGTGTGGAATAGAACAAAACAAATACTTTTTTTATTTGGTGAATTCTGGTCTCAAATAAGGATTCTAACTAGCAATCTCATTATAACCAAAGTAAAGGAATATTGCCATGTTGTATTTAAGTGGCACTGGCAACCATTTTATTTTCACTCAGATGCTCCTTAATTTTCATTTACAGGGTCATTTTATTCCCACATATTTATAAACTTGGAAATATTTACCTTATCATGAATGGCTCGGCGATTGGAAGGCTGTATTAAGACTTTGTATCCGAGGTTGGTGATCCCTTTGATGTGCCGGGGAGCCAGAGGGGCCCTCCTCTCCCAGGCGTTAACGTCCTCCCGCCTCAGGGCCATCACAGGCTTGTGGTGAAGCCCTCTGGTGAGGCTGCACCCCAGCCTGCCCAGTTTGGTGCTATGTACATGTAGCATCTTGAAACCTGGTGACTATAAACACATCATAAAAGCACAGAACAACAAAAGGCAGGAAGGCTCACAGATCATTTCTGGTCTTCTAAGAAATCTGCTGTAAAATCCAACCAACTCAGATGATAACAGATACAAAATAGAGAAAAGGAGAGGGAAAACCTGGATGATACCGTGTTCCTTTACCCTAACAAACCCAAATTTCCACAAACGTGGTTATTTATTTAAAAATAAATAAATAAATACAGCCTGCCCTGTGTGGATCAGTTAGTTGAGCAGCAACCAATGCTCTAGGAAGTCACCAGTAGGACTCCGGGTTAGGGCTCACAGGCTCAGTTCCAGGTAGGCAGAGAGCAGGAGGCAGCAGATGGATGTTTCTCATGTTTTTCTCTCATGGATGTTTTCTCTCTCTCACTCTCCCTTCCTCTTTCTAAAATCAATAAAAACTTTAAAAAAAAAAAATACAAAGTGTCCTAGCCAGGTGGTTCAGTTGATTGGAGTGCCGTCCTGTAAATCAAAAGGTTGTGGGTTCGATTCTCCACTGGGGCACATACTAAGGTTGTGGGTTCCATCCCCAGTAGAGGTGCGTACAGGAGGCAACCAATCAATGTTTCTCATATTGATGTCTCTCTCTCTGTCTCTTTCTCTCTCTCCTTCCTTCTCTCTCTGAAAATCAATAAAAACATATCCTTGGGTGGGGATTGAAAAGAAAAAAAAAGAAAAAAAAATGTTATGGGACACAAACTCATGTCTGCAAAGCTGAAGTAAATTTTTAAATATATGTTTTATCAAAGAACTATTCAGGACAAAAGTTTTAAGCAAGTTAACCTGCAATGCAAATGCAGGAAGATAATTTGTGTCAATTTTGAGAGCATAATGTTTGGAATTCTTTAACCAAGTACAAGATTCTTGACAATCTAGATCCAACTTCTTCCGAGTTTCATCTCTGACCATTCTCTAACAAGTGCTATTCAGAGTGTCAGTGAACTGCTTTCATTGGTCAATGATGAGATATGTGCAGAATAGAAAGTTAGCACTTAGAGACCTTTATATCACTTGCTCATTTTTTTACTAATTCATTGTTATTGAATTTTATAAAAGTATTGGTTCTGCACAGATTGAAAATTTAAGAAAATAAAACAAAAATGTTCCTTCACCACAAGTGTCAGAGTTTTAAGAAACTCAACCCTAAATGAACCCCCAGCCCCCACCTGAGACCCCCCAGCCTCACCCTCATTGGTCCTTTTATTGCTCTAAACATGTTGCTCTCTTTCCCAGGGTTTCCTTTCTATAACACACCCTCCTATTATTTAAACCTGAACCTATCTCAACCCGCTTTCTAACTGCTATTCCAGGTTGCAAAATTCCACTCTTTTATTCAATCATGAAATGTTTACAAGAGGCTCCCTATAAATTTTATATACATTTTTAAAGCATAAATATCAAACAGTATTCTACCCCTCTTCATATGGCTACATACATTTGGTAGTCAAATGTCATTTCAGATGATAACTTGCTGGATCATTTGGATGCTAACCCTTAGTTTTCTATGTTTAAGGTTAGCATCAAAATATAGGGACTGCATAATTTCACACCTTCCAGAAATATTCTACCAATTACTGCTAGCATTTAGCAAAATTTGTATGAAGTGCATTTTTGTTATATCAGACTGCAACCTCTAAATCAGACCCACCATGTAGATGGGGAATGTTTGTCCAAACCTGGGGGCACACAAATACTTGCCACAGGAGATATGAAATTTAGAGCGCAACTCACCACACAATAGACCAAAAGAATAAAGCAAACAGCTGGGAGTGCCCCTGAGAAGGCTCGGGGAAGGAGAGGGCATAAACAGAAAGGGCTGCACAGCAAGTGAGCACACAGGCGGTTAGGGCCAAAATCGATGGTCAACATTTTGGTAAAAGACTATTATGCACTCTATCTAAATTTTGTTTTATTTACATAATTTTGTTTTTAAAAGAGACAACACTAAGCCCAAACCCAAACCAAAGCACATAGTATTTATTTTCTACCAAACCAAAGAAAAAAACTATACCATTCCATAGAACTCGAATCCTATTTTCTCAAATAAAAACAATTCCAAAGACATGCAATTCTTTTGAACACACAGATAAGCCCAGAAATGGTTCCATCCTCCCAGCAGGAGTTATATTTCATATACCACAAGAAACAAAGGGACACCACATCCTCTATTCTTTGTACCAATTCTTGGTGTTAACATGAGGGAACACGTTGGGATAATATAGCCTCTCCCTCTGTCCAACATTATTTATAGCCTCCCCTTCCTCAGCGACCATTCCTTCTCTTCCCACTTCCGTCTGGGGTGGTGGGGAGCAAGGTGTTGGAGGAGAGACACTGACACATGCACACAAGTAATGCCACACAGATATTTGCAAAGGCAGACTTTCCATGGAAAGAGGAAAAGAAAGCAGATGTGAGCCCTTGGAGTTTATTTGGGAAGCTACTTTCACTTTCACTTTTTGTAGGCAAATCTCAAATCACAAGTCTTGTAACTTTGTTTTTAAACAAATGTAACAATGGCTAGCATTGATTTAACACAATATGCCAAGCACCAAACTGAATACCTTACAGACATTATTTTATTTTCTCCTTGCAAAAATCTTACTTAGATAAGATTATCCCCATTTAACAGGTGAAGAAACTGAACTGGAGTCTGGGTAGAACTGTTGCTTTAAGCAGAAGCAGGATTCGTAGGTTAATATTTAGCACTAGAGACTTTCTCTTCTTTGCCAAAGCTGGCAGGTCCACACCATACAGATTGACACGTTGTTACTGCTGCCAGCTCCTTTCAGAAATAGAGCAGATCCGCATGGCATACACTTTAGTAGTTACAGTAAATTGTCGGTTCTCCCCCAGCATGGGCCGCCTCTATCCATCCCTTTCCCATGTGTCACCAAAAATCCTTCCTGAGTCTCTGCCAAGGTAAAGTCTCTGGGAGCTTAGAAAAAAGATTTGATTATAGCAGGTGTTATTGTATTGATAATTGCTGGAACCTGAAACTTGGTCTCAGCATAAAACTTTCCAGGCCCACCATTCATTTCATTCTAAAGTCATCAAAAAATATCTAACATGGAGGGTTTCTTAATTGCTTTTAGGTAGGGTACTGCACGTGTCTGGTATTCCATGAAATGCCCAGGTGGACTGTTCTGGGTGTCCCTGTCCTGGGCTTTGTGGGATTCCAAGAAGATCAGGAAGTAAATTTAATATATATATTTCTGGCAGTGCCTTCAGTGAAACAAAGCAGGAAGACCCCTGGTTTACCACTGGCTCTAGTGAGGTCTCTTGACAGTGGGTGCTGATAGGAGCCTGTAGCATGAGCAAAGAGGAGGTGGAAAAGCAAGAGGAGGAGAGGAGAAGGAAAAGAAAGATCTGGGGAGAATAAGGAGGAGGAAGAGGGCAAGAGGAATAGTGGTAGAAAGAAAAGTGTTACCTAGTCAGGGTAGGGAATAAGACCCTTCCCCTGACAAGTGCTAAAGTCTTTCTTTCAACACAGGTAGGGCTAATGTTTCAAACAGTGTAAAAATAAAATTTAAAAGATTCTTTCCTATGTTTTTGTAAAACAAGAAAAGCACTAAAATACACATTTTACTTACCTAGGCTTGATCAGGAATTGGAAATGACTCTAAAAGTCATGGGAGTATCATAGTGAATTAATTGCACAGACATTCACAGAGACAGCAGCACAATCAGTGGATGGACTCTAACAAGAGAACATAGCACATGAGACCACCATACTTCCCTTTCCATCTCTCACTGGGGGAAGACAAGAATTTTTTTTTTTTAATTTACCAATTACCTATCTGCAATGTACATATGAGAACCAGGGGAAGCAAGGAGAACATGCTTATATGTTCTTAGTATTTTCTATCCTTTTCAAGAGAAATGAAAAGGAAAATGGTGATTAGAGATAAAAAAAATAAAAATAAAAAGACAGACAGACAGATGAACTTGGCACTCCACACATACCCCACAATTTTCTCTCAGTGACCATAAAATAAACCATGGTGATTGAGTATAACATCACTCTACATCACATGGAGGAAACAGAAAATTTTGTGAGGTGTATTTATAAAAGATTCTATCTGAGAAAAGGCCACATTCAGAGGCAGAGGAACTTATATGTATTTGGGAAGGGCCTTTCAGATGATGAGCAGACTGTTCAGTCTTTGTGAATATATTAATATAATATATTTAAATGTATATATAAATGCAAATATATTAATATAATATATTATATTAGTATATTAATATAATAGTAGCTAGTCATTTGTTTCAAGCAGGAATATTTTTGAATATTTAAATAAAAATATAATAAAAACACCAAGTTTTCTTGATGGAGTTAGTTTTTGCCCACTGATTATAGAAGAAGTGTTTTTATTTCATTCTTTAATTCGAAAAAAAAAAAAAGCTGGTGGGTACTTAAGGTGTGCATAGCATGATGTTAGGTACTTGTAAAGATACAGAAATCCAGTTTCCGCTCATTTTCATGGGATCCAACAAGCACAGGATGGGACAATTTCATCTAATTAAATGTCCCCCATCAAAATCTGATGGTTAGCCCTAGCTGGTGTGGCTCAGTTGGTTAGAGTGTAGTCCCCGTACACCAAAAGGTGGCGTTTCAATTCCCAGTCAGGGCACATACCCAGGTTTTGGGTTCGATCTCCAGTAGGGGGCATGCAGGAGGCAGCTGATTGATGTTTCTCAGGTCAATGTTTCTCTCCCCCCCCCGCCCCCCCCCCCCCCGTCTAAAAAATCAATAAAAAATAAAAGTGCTTTACAAATGAAGGTAGTGAGCCCCATAAAAATAAGTGATTTTCTGTATTTTATGAAAATCATTTTCCAAGCCTGAAATAATACAATTTTGGTAGGCATAACTTTTAAATGTAACTGGATTAGGTTACATTTATCTGCTACCATTCAGACAGCACTTATACCATAAAACAATGTATTTTATTTGTGCTGGTTTTCATGAGTAAGAGTACAAGGTAGGTTAATAGAGCTGAGGTCTACATAGAGCTTTTTATTCTTTGAACTAATATTCAAATATCCTTTAAGTCTCTTCAATCTTTTCCATAGCATCAACCTAATCAGAAAAATATTTAAACTCACAAACCACTTACCTAAACCAGAGCAATTTGTAAGCAAATACAAGAACATAAGTACAAAAAGGGCCCCCTAATTTCTGTTGTTTCCAGTGGGACATTTATAAAGGATTACAAATTCCTTATTAACAAATTGAGTCCAAATCTTCCATCTCTAGCCCCTCCAGTCAGATATATGCTCTTTGTTCTTGTAGTTTAGATCTTTAAAATAATGCCACTAGAACATAATTCAGTGACTCTAAAACTATCAAATCACATGGGGAGATTTCTCAATGTCATTTATTTGTATTCAAAGGCACACATCTTGATTAAATGTTGAGAGACTAAGAATGGAGTAGTCTTGTCTTGAGTTGAACAAAAGAAGGTAATGAATGAGAAATTCAAATGATTTATACCTACCCTACCAGTTCATTCAAAAACTGCAAGTGTATTTTAAATACCATGGTTTCCCAGGAAGCCCTAGCACTGTAGATACTATGTAGTACAGTAGTATGGGCTATAAGTCTTGGCCCACATTACATAGTACTTGGTATCCAGACTATAATAATCCTGGAGAGGTCCAAAAAAGTTGCAAATTAATAAAACACCTGATGATAGCCTAGAACTAATATAAATACCTCCCAAGCCCAAGGCTTGCTAGAACTAGACTTGGGCATGCAGTAACACTGTCCTCCATATACTTCCTGTTGCATAGGTACATCCTTTAATCCTGCTGCATTAAACTTGGTATAGTTGGCCAGAAGTTAAAAAACAAACAAACAAACAAACAAGTAGACTTGGGTGGGCAGACTCTATTAGTACTCACCAATCTGGTCTAAGAATATTCATATGTTCTCAAGCCCATCAGCTATGCAAAGTCATCCAAAGATATGAGACCCAAGATTCTCCTGGTCTGTAGCCCACAGATTTTGTTTCACTGAGATGGAATGCATAGTTAGTTCTGAATTGGAGGCTAATCCAAAATGTTTATGTGCTTATTTGTCTGTCTCTTTGATAAACTGTAAATGTTTGGAGGGAATAAATTGTGTTTTATTCATCTTTGTGACTGGTGTATAGGAGAACTCAAATGTTTTAAGAAACAATGAATGAACACATGAGCAATTTAAATGAATATTATGAAGACCTATGCAGCAGAGAAAACAAAATAGATACACCAGAGATTTATATCTCCCCTCCCCACCCTGATTGCCTGCCACCACATCCAACAAAAAAATTTATTCTTTGCCAAGATCTTGTACACCAATAAATGTTATGAAATACAATATAATGTGAGAGGAAAATCCAGACCTGGGAGCTAAAAACTATTTGTGGGGTTCCTTCTCTTAACTTCAATTTCCTCCTCCGGACCAGAATATAATACTGAAGTCCTTTTCAGCTCCAATATTGTATTAAGTATGTCAGTGCCTGGGCACTGTGGATTACAAAATCATTAGAATTTTAGAACATGAATGGGCACTCTGACTCATGAAGATCCAACTAAAGTATCCTAAACAAGGAACAAAAACACTAAAAAGAGTATGGGAGACAGGACATTCACCTATGTTACCTGCATTAACTGCAGTAACCAGGAGCCCAGAGCTTACAACAGGAGGCACATACCTCAAAGGAACACCAACTCCTCACCTCCCCAGGTGGCCTGGGCTCCTCAGCTTCCCTTACACTGTGACTGTATTTCATCAAATTTAAGACACATTTTTTTTCACGTCCCTGAAATAGAGATGCATCTTAAATGATAATATTTGAGATTAATATGGTAATAATGTTGTTGATTATTTCTCATTCAAAATCACAGTGTTTCTGTGATTCCATGAATGTCAGGAAATTTTTGTGGCCTCATCAAGGAAACTTGCCACTGTTTATAGTGTTAGTTCTATGAAAAAAATTAACAAAGAATATTTGCAAAAATAAAAAGTTTTTTGTTAAATGGACCCTGACTACACATGAAATACCACTTCCAAAATCTTGAGCCAATGTCTGTTAAACATTAAAGAAAGGCTTAGTTTAGGGGAGAATTTTCTATTGGAAATAATTCCATTAAAGTGTCAATGATGCTGTCACCAATAACAAGTGAAACTGATAACAAATATGAATTTCTGGAGAGTGGGAAAGTGACTAAGGAAAGTTGGTTTAAACCTTTGTCCTCCTAACTCACTTTGCAGAAAGGCCAGAGGTTTACATTGCCTGGTCATGAAGTCCTAGGTTCACGAGTCTTTATGGGGTAAAGGGAAAAAGGGGAGTACAAATGACAAAATCAAAATATACACACACGTAAACACCTCTATACAAAGTGCCATCAGTGATTTTTTAAAAATAAAGTATGTGGAGGGGGACAATGAGAGGGAAGGGAGGCCATCTGTACTACCCTTACCAACAAAGATAAATAAAAATTAAAATAAAATTATCAGAATATTACAAAGCAGTAATACTACTACTCCTACTAATAAAACATGTGAAAGCCACTGCGCGGAAAAAAAGCGGCGGGAATGGGGGGTGACCCCCCCCCCACCACAATCTCCATCAACCACCCTCTGCAGCCAGCCAATCTGAATAAGCACACAGTCTAAGAATTAAGTTTGCTCTGCAGCTTCAACATCAATCTTTTGCTCTTCAGCAGCCGCACCCCTCTCCCCCGCCAAAAAAAAAAGTAATCTGAACTGCATCCCTCCTGCTTCCTATTCAGAAATTTCGGAGCTGCGCCCACCGCCCTCCCTTGCTAGGTTTAAACCTTTGTTCTCACTCTCTCCCTAGCTCCGGGCAGGCAGGCTCCGGAGAGTCTGCAGAGGCTGCGGCGGCGCTGGGAGCGGGAGACAGAGCTCCGCCCCGGCTCCCAGCCGCACAGGAGTCCCGCCCGCCCGTGATCTCCCCGCGCAAAGTCTGCAGCCCCGCAGCTTGCTCATCCGCTCAGCCCCTCGGGGCACCCCCCCTCACCTCGTCCTCTGGGGCGCTGACCGGTCCGCTGCCTCCCAGCTCCGGTCGGGGAGGGTAGGCCCTGCCTGACGTCCCGGCAGAAATTGGGATGTGAGCTGGGAGGAGGAGGTGTTTTTGCTCAACTTCTGAGGACGTCAGGCCTCCTCCTCCCGCAGCCTATCAGCGGCCTCCCTGAGGGCACAACCTTCTCCTCTGCCAATCGGCGGGGCTGCCAGGTGCTAGGTCATGCCCGGCCCCTGCTCCTCCCCGAAAATCCTCTGTCTTTTAGATCGCTGACCTGCGTCCTTAGCTGGGGGCATCTCGTCCTTCTAGGACGGTTATTGACCGAGTTCGTAACTGTCCATAGCAGAGGAGAGACAAAGACGAAAACACTGTGGGTCTCACTGGCTAAATAGATATGTGCATTTCCTGGAAAAAAGTTTCGAGCTCAGGCATATCGCGTTTGTTTTCGATATACACGTCTCAAAGCATTTTCACAGCCCCATAGCAAGTCTATGAAGCCAGATGACAGTTCTTAGAACAGTTTTGGAGTCCAACAAACTCAGACGGAAAAATTCAGCGTATCCACATCCAATGAATATTAAGAATCATGTGTATCTGACAAAGTCCAATGTTCTTTAAAAGT